TTCGTCAATGGGATCAGTACATGAGTAATGGCGGCGCATTGCATTCTGGGAGCAATGATCCCATTTACGAAGCGGCTTCATGAGAAATTCGCGGGAAATTCGAGCAGGATTTCTCATAGCATTCTGGGTAAAGTATGTGGTACCAAGTTGCAAGACGTATATTTCGAACAAGTGACCATTCAGCTACACACAGATGCCAATATCATGGCGGTTTGTTGTGTATTTTGGCTCTAGTGTTGTGAAACGATTCGAGCGTTCTGGAATTTCTGTGCGAACGCTTTCTTACCTTCTCTATATCACTGTGTTACGTGTGTATTTATGCATGCACAATGGCGTGCGCGCTATGTGTAGCAGCGGTTTATTGGACGGTGTTGAAGTGAAGTTATTAGGTCAAATCAAACATTAAGACTATTAGTATTACTGGTACTGGTAGGTCTAGTACTGACAAGTTGTATTTATTAACCATCATTTTATTATTGAAACGGTCCAAGTGCCTGTGATAAACACCAGTTTCACCACACGACGTGCCCCTGGCCCTGGATGTTTACGTTGGATTATACAATGAATTATGAACTAATATTAATAAAAGGTTACACGTTAACCGAAAAATCACCAATGTGTATTAAACGAAAACCTAAACTTACAAGAAGGCATGAAAACGTTCGAAATGCCATGAAAAGTAAGAACAAACACATGAACTTGAAGAAGAAGCTAACTTCTAACTAAGCAAATTCGGAGCAACTGCAGTTTACACGCAATGCCAAATTGCCAATAGCGCTATCTTGCGGACACTAGGTGACTTAGTTACGTGTTCACCTCTTTACATACTTTACAATATAAATGCGTGACCGTTATTGCATTATATTCTCGCGGTTTTTACGGGGTAACGGCGTTGGGCGTAGCAAATACTATTCGTGTAAATATATATGAATCCATCATTTCTACCGTCATCGCCGTTTGAAGCTAAAAATTTCATTTTGCGTAACTGTGTTGTTACATAGATCATAGCGCGCGCGATCTTAGATAGCGCGCGCGCGCGCTAGATGGCGCGTCTTGTTATTGGTAAAAGTTAGATGAGCTCACCATTCTTCACTAGTTTTCTGCACAAGCGCAGTAAGCCGGAAGCTAAGGACCTAGAACCCGTCTATAGTCATTGCCGGATGATGGAAGTTGCAACATGTATGTTCAGAATCGTGAAAAACGTCAATATGTTTCTTATTTATCTATAATTTAGAGTCCAGTAATTTGTTTGTTGTAACTTTTAATATTTATTTTCTAGGTCTAAAGTTACATTCAAGATAACGTTGACTTCTGATCCGAAGTTGCCGTTTAAAGTGTAAGTTTAAAGGAATAATAGTTTTTAATACTAACTAATACTATTACTAATAGTAATAGTAATACTAGTAATAGGCTATAGTAATAGTAATACTAATACTAATAGTAATAGGTCCATTGATGATTGAATATCAATATGCAATGTTGACGAATGCTAGAGTAACTGGAACCTTGTGTAGTTACATTATAGCCAAACGCGTATTAGTTTGTCCAATATCACTGCTGGTTACATTACAAACATGACTTGAAATCGGTTGTTGAGTCAAGCGATGACGTAAACATTTGTGCGGCCCGTATGTTTTGGACACCAGATGAAACGGAGGTGTTAGCGGTGTAACCACGGCCACGGACTAAACATGGAAATAGAGTAAAACACACATACTAATCACGACGCACGTGGACAGCCCTGACAAAAAGTTTCTTATCACGAGCGTCCATGTTTACGAAATCACTGATGATAGCATTGCGTACGGCCGAGCATGCGTGCAAAAATGTCCGGTGCATTATAAATCTGTATCACACCCGCTTCGCCGGCAGCGGTTTGAAACTGTAAACAACTGATTTTTGGACTGTGGATTTCAATTAGAGATTTCTTAGTAACTAGCAGTGATATTGGACAAACTAATACGCGTTTGGCTATAAGGTAATGTACTTATTAACTACACAAGGTGCCAGTTACTCTAGAAGTCGTCAACATTGCATAATCAATGGACCTATTATTCTTTTAATGACGATAATGGTAATACTAGTAGTAGTAGTAGTACTAATACTATTACTAGTAGTAGTATATAGGGTAAACATCAGGTTTAGCGTCGTAAATTAACTGGAAAGTGCTGGCTGATGGAGAAGGAGGAAGGGGAGAAAGGAGAAGCTGGTGGAGAAGGAGGAGGGGGAGAAGAGAGAAGGTGGTGGAGAAGGAGGAGGAGGAGAAGCTGGTGGAGGAGGAGGGGGAGAAGCTGGTTCGAAAAGGAGGGGGAGAAGGGAGCTGGTGGAGGAGGGGGAGAAGGGAGAAGCTGGTGGAGAAGGGAGAAGCTGGTGGAGGAGGAAGGGGAGAAGGGAGAAGGTGGTGGAGAAGGGAGAAGCTGGTGGAGGAGGAAGGGGAGAAGGGAGAAAGCATGGTGGGCGAGGATAGGGCACAAGGGAGAAGGTGGTGGCGAAGGGGAGAAGCTGGTGGAGGAGGAAAGGGGATAAAGAGAAGGTGGTGGAGAAGGAGAGAGCTGGTGGAAGGAGTGCTGACGATGTTCACTGATACGCCCGAAATGCCGATAGACCGCCATAGCGCCATCTGGCGGTGGCGTTTGCAAGTTAATTTACGACGCTAAACCTGATGTTTACCCTAGTATAGTAATAGTAATAGTCATTCGACTCGTGGGTCGAGATGACCCTCCTGGAGATCGGTCAGCTCGACATATAACGTTATGTACATATTGCTCCTGCAGCTATCGGTGCTGTACTACACACAGCACGTCACCTACCAAAATTCTGCACGATTTTAAAATAAATATTATTTAAAAATGATATATATATATATATATATATATATATATTACCCGTACGTGTATCAAAAATGTACTAACTTACACGCAAACATTTCGACTTTGGGGCGTGTGAAACATCTCACGAGTTGGCTGGCGAGTCGAGGTGACCGATCTCTAGGAGGGTCATCTCGACCTACGAGTCACGCTGTCCCACCTCCAGGCGGGTAAACGCGACCCACGAGTCGGGTTTGCCGGCGAGGCGAGTTGACTACGGACCCTAATACAGTAATAGTTATAGTGATTGTATGATTCGCACACACATACTCACATGTGCAAGTACTACACCAATTTAAATATATGATTGAAGCACTGAAATATCAGGCAAAAAACCCAAATACACTAAAGTATGTGCTTTATGAAACAAATTTTACAGGCTGAGTGTTCCAGAGCAAACACCATTCACGGCTGTGCTAAAGTTTGCAGCAGAAGAGGTAAGCTTGATAGGATTGTAGTAGCTCTGTATTTCAGATCACATTGTAATGTTAAAGCCGCACTATGCGCATCCAAACGCTAATTTCTCCAGTACTAGACTAGCAAATACTTCCTGTCTAATATTTTTTTGCACCGGACCAGAGGGCTGGCAACAGCAGTTTTTTTACCAGCCCAGGCTTCTCCAAGAGCACTTATAGCCTGGCGGCCAGCCAGGCTATCGTCGAGCCATGCCATCCTAAAATGCACCCGCCACTCTAAATATCATAGCCGCCATGCTGGTGTATACACAAGAAGTTCAAACAATTAATACACATTGTTTATATCGGAATAAACTTTGAAGTGATATGCAGAAAGCCTACTAGTTTACCTTGTGTTTCAATTCCCGGGAGGGAATAAACGGAGCTGTGAATAATTCGAACGTCTTGGATTTCTCTATTAACACGAGGTATAGACTGGATTACCTGCCCCTACTTTGGCAACGCTACGAGCCATGCAACACAAACATTTTCACCCCACATGCAGTGCTTCAAATTTACACACAGAGTGTCCCAGATTGCATTTCAGAGCTTCTACAATTCAAAAATTTACCGGGGGGGCATGCCCCCTGACCCCCCCCTAGCACGCAAACCGCCTTCGGCGATTTGCAACTAGGACCGTAAAGGCAGCACCCCATGCTATAATGAAAAAGCTTGGAGAACCCTGCAGCCCTCACAATATTTTTACCAAAAATAAAGATAAGACTGTTTCAGACTCTTGCTCGTCCGAAAAATGTTGTAGTGTGCGGCATCGCGTATTAGCTGTTGAACAGACTATAATGCAGATCGTGAATGATTTCCGAAGTGTTTTTGGCAATGTATTCTCGATTTCAAATTTGTAAAATGTTGATAAATTATGGCGTGATATCCTTCCGGTAAAACAGTATTGTAGGCTATTTGCTAAAATGCTATAAATAAAAATGTAGGTACTCGCTAACACGTCTGAAACCACCGGCTCGGAGGGCCGGTGTTTTGCCAATGTTACTGGCCCTCCAAATGCGGGCCGGTGCTAATTTCACGCCCTGGGTACAGAATTGATAGTTTGCTTCATGTGTGGCAGCAGATAGCAATCACTGCTGACATGTGGGATTCACTGTGTGATTTTATGCTTACTGCTTTCAGTTCAAGGTTCCGCCAGCAACTAGCGCCATAATAACAAATGATGGGATTGGAATAAACCCTTCACAGAGTGCTGGTAAGTGTTGGGGATTGCTGAAGAATTACAACAATACTATGATAATTTTGTGTCAAGGTAAATGGGAGAATCCTCTATACCTGGTCAGGCAAAGACCATGCCTTGGTTTCTCATTGTGGGTCTTCTCTCCTTATTATGACATATTGGGATAGGGGCTTTGTGTCTTAGGGATTCTCCTGGTCGTGGGAGATAATTGGCATGGCATTTGTTAGCTACTGAAATTCATAGAGTAAACTGCAAATGGCTTGATTGAATTGTCCATTCTCACAGTACTCTAACTACTAAGGCCTATACTATTGAAAGATCAATAGAAGAAAAATGTCTAATTGCGAAAAATAGATTTAATGGCTTAATGAACATAAATATTGGTTACATGTCTAAAATTGTAGCTGCTATCAAAAATAGCAACATGCTTACTCGCATTTTTTCTATTATTTTCAGGAAATGTCTTTCTCAAACATGGATCTGAATTACGGCTTATACCAAGAGATCGAGTAGGGAATGGAATCAATAGTTTAATGGACTAAGATTGTTATTTATAATTGATATATAAAAGATATATATGCATTTTTACTTATTTCACTACAGTGCTGGTTGTGGTGTTATGATTTCAGTTTAGTAATGGAGTAAATACAAGTTAATGTATGGAAAGGCATATAACTAACAATGTGAACTGGTTTTCTTAGCCATTATTGGTCTTTAAAAATGTTCTATGACTATATTTGTGAAGATTTAGATTTGACATGGTGTCATTTGGTTGGTACAAAAGCAAAATGAAGGAATTGCTTAGTGTCAAGTGTGACACACCAAACTTATCGTGCACTCATATGCGGTCGCTATTAACAAATATTTACAATCATTGGAACTCGGTTTACTTATATGAATTGTTAGTAGTATAAAGGTGAATATGACAAAGTGGTGAGATGTAAACATTTATAAAATAAGAGTTATTTATATTTCACCCAACCATGTCAGCTGTTTACCTTGTTTTAACTCCTGCGTTCCAAATGCAAAATGAATTTAACACGTAATTTTATGTAATGATTTAATGTTCAGAGCTTTTACACCCAAAATGTTTTGATTTGTAGACAAACAGCACTAGCACATGATAAACATAACTATTTGTAAAGTACACAGTCATGTAACATTTCTGGAATGTGCCCTAGTCTCTTCATTTTGAGTTAGTAATTTTGCAACAAACTGAAAGATTACTGCTTTTGCTGACTCATAATAATAGGAAACCTACTAGAAATGGCCTTTGTTCTAGAATCATAGCACAACATTCAATAAGCGATCAGATAATATAATTATTACAAATATCATAACATGTAAAAATATTCCAACTCGTTGGGGTAGTTGCGCAGGTCATGCCAAAGTCATTAATGACATTGTTCCACGTATATTGGCAATCTTTCCTTCATTTTGCTTTGCATCATTCAATTTCATTCTACAAACACAAGCAGCACTGATGCTGACCATTAACCTGCTGCATTAGGAATGCAATGGTACCATCCATGACAGAAATTCCCTCATGTCACATGTACACATAACAGCCGAGTTGCCATGGCGACCGTAATGCTGAAACGTCATGCACTAACACATACGCCGCCTGGCGTCGGTGATATGTCACAGCAATTGCTTCACCTCTAAAAAGCACATCACTGGAGTTTTTCACATAGTCGAAATCCCAAAGATTTTAAAAACCGACAAAGTTTTGGCAATCTGAACCTACCCTCCGACACTGTTTACACTACTGGGCGCAGTCACCGGACTTTAAAAACCAATGAGATGCTGATAGTCGTGCTTGGAAAGGAAATCTAAAAAAAAACTGAAAAGTTACCACGCCCAAACTGCCGCTCATCCTCGTTTTTAACCGACAAATGATGGGGGATCTGAACTGATTCAACAGCTACCAGATGCAGCATCAGAGTTGAAGGCTTGGGGGAATGAGCATAAGCGAATCTGCTATCACAGCCTATTCTCAGATTACACAGCAATAGACTGTGTGGAGGCTAGCTTGGCTGCATAGCTGTATAGACAGGCGCCTTAGTCGCTCCACTCGTCAGAGTCAGCTCCCTGGCACTCATCCTGTGGCAGCACATCGTCCTGGAACTGCAGCTTCTCGTGCATAGCCTGTATGAGCTCCTCCTTCTTCTCTGCGGCCGTCTTTGCAAGCTCCTGCCCGCTGTCATACTTGGGCTTCCTTGCGATGGACGGCTTCGGCGCTTCAGACACTAGAAACGTTAGACGAGGGGAATGGCGTAAGAAGACTAAGTAAGCAGTAAAGTGCTAAGGGTAAGCAGCTGAACTTACATAACTTTCACTGTAATGGACCTATTTGCCTGTTGTGAATTCAGCATATATATGTTAAATCTATAATATAATAGTAGAAAGAGCCGAAGTGTCGTTTTCCGTATCTCCTCCGAAACCGTACCACGTATTCTCACGCGAATCGAGCTGGGGCCCCTTCTGGACGTCCCGAATACATTCCGCTACGTTAGAACGCAATTTTTCGATGGTAAAGTGACTTTTTGAGGCAATTTTCTAAAAAGTGATGTGCCCGAAGAAACTTCGGCATTCGTCGGAAACCCGCACCAACTTTTAAGATCTCCAAATCCGCATGCGCACACACGCACTCACCAAAGCCATTGCGGCCTCGGTGTATAAACAACCAAGCACTGCCGCGCACAGCTGTGAGGCGAAAATTTAAGACAAACTTCAACGAGAGACTCAGAGGCTGCAGTTGTATGTGTGTGTGTGTGTGTGTGTGTGTGTGTGTGTGTGTGTGTGTGTGCGTGCGCAAGCCCGTGTGTGTGTGAATGCGGTGTGTGCGTGCGTGCGCGCGTGTGTGTGATGTGTGTGTCTGTGCGCGCGTGTGTGCAAATATTTGACAACGGGAGGTGTAACCCTGCCCGTCGCCGTCCACTGACTTTCAAGAAAATATGTCTTCAAAACTACTCAATGCATTTTGCTTTTTTTAAGAATTTTACTTATTAATGATGCTTCTAACCAGAATGATATTTTCAAAAATAATATCTAAATAAGTGAAATTGTACTATGAAATCACCCCATTTCCTTTCTTTTTTTAAATTGTAGGTAATTTAAAGGTAAAATATCTGATTTTATATATATTTAGATACAATTTTTTTTAAACAAATATTGATATATGACTCCAGTATAAATATCAGTATTTTTCGTTTACTGTAAATACATCCTCAACTAAAAGTGAGAGATAAATGGTTAAACCGCCATCCTCAAATCAGACCCCACTCAAACCCGTCTGGAGGACGGGTAATAGCTAGTATATATATATATATAGTACACATGTATCATATGTGACTCACAAGCTTTGCTACCAGGGGGCTGGAGGTTGATTTTACGGTGAGGCTTCTGCTTGCCCCTGCCCAGCCATTCTTCTGCAGTCTGTAGTGGCTCCCACCAGACCCTAGTTTCTGGGAATAGATCATCCTGAAAATACTGCATCTGGAAAAGATGAGAATTAAAAAACAGCACTTAGTAAATAATATACACGATGATGCACTGGGGCTTTTCTTTCCATTCATATATCATAACAGCTAAAATGCCATATTTTTCACATCCTCTTTCTCGAAGTTCCTGGTTTTTGTAGGCATTACATATAGTAAACAGTAAGAATGACTAGGTTCTTGCATACACATATGCAAGCTCAATAATTTCAATGTTAGCAAAAGTCCTGCCATGGTAGTATTTTGATATAATATTTATCTAAGCATGGGGTAGGAACCAACAGGGTATATATAGACAAGAAAATAATTATTGCATTGGTTATATTCTAGATAACAAACAGAATAGAACTAGGGTAGATATGTGTTAATATATTTTATGTTATTCATTCCCACTCTCTAATAAATCTATGCTATGGTCATAAAGTGAACAAGTTAAAACGGATGAATCATGCAGCTTGCTGTACACCCAATCATATGACACAATCATAGAATTGTTCTTATTTGCATTCTAATATGTGATGATATTATTAAGTCATATAAAAACATGCTGGTTTTAATTAAACCCTCTGCGCAGCAAATAAACTTAGAAATCTATCTAACCAAAAATAAATTAATAAATTTGTTATACGTACCTGGGTTCTGGGCACTGTAAACAACATTGGTTCTATAGAGTTTTGCGTCAGCTTCAGCGCTCTAGCAAACTCAATCTTCATCACGTCACAGGCTGTCTTTGGCAAAAAGGCAAGTCCTTGATGAAGTGTACTGCCAGTATAGCCAGCCAGTGGGAACAGATAGGGGGCATCTGCTGCCACCTCATATGCAAAGATTGTAGTGTCACCCTGCGCAGAAAGAAAATGAATAAAATTCCCACTTTACAATATTGGAGTTTTGTTCGCCTGTACTAGCATTCAGCTTCACGTGCTCCTAATTCTGGTGTATGCATGGCAAATTGTTTTTTTCTGACATGGGAAAATAAAAAGGAATTCGGAAAAATACTTGTTATCCGACTGTTAGTTATCATTTCAGCTAGGGGATTGCAAGATGCACGTACAGCACGCGTCTATGGCCAGGTGGCACTACACAGAAGTTCTGTTATGGCTGCTATAGTATACCTTGCCAGTGAGAAATACACTGGCGCTGTCTGCATCATAGTATGGAGTCAGTATGGAGGGACTGAAGTCCAACCCAACAGTTGTCAGGGGGGCAGAGATGTCCTCCACGCTGTATATATACACCTGTCGCTCGCTGGTCCTAAAATCACATTACATGAAAACCGCCTAGAGTATAGCTTATATAGGATCACCTGAACATATAGTCAATGCTATTATCTTACGTTTATAAAATATATATTAAAAATATTAAATATATTTTACTTGTTGTAGTTCCTTAATGGCGCTGTCAGACCAACGTATGCAAGCCAGCTTATACCAACGTATGAAAAATTTGGTAAATACGCTGGCGTACGTCGAATAAGTTATTGGTATGTTTTGTATAAGTTAAGAGCACGCTGAAGCACGCTGGTATACGTCGTAGTACGGCGACGTATGCCAGCGTATACCCATACGTCCCGCATACGCGGGCCATAAGTTGTAGGTAAGTTATGCAATCGTTGATACACGTTCACAAACGTTACTTGTAAGTTACTCATGTCGAAATACGTCGAGATAATGTCTAGCGTACCCAAAACTTATTTCTAACCTATGAGTAACGTGCCTTGAACCTATGTGTAACTTATATCGAAGTTATCTCCAATGCATATTGACGTATGTAGACGTATTTGACGCATTCTGGACGACCACAGAACTTACTGAACGTGTTTCTAACTTACAGCTACCGTATAATGGCGTATTGGCAGCGTTTAGGGGAATTGGTATATAAAAATGGTATTGGCATGTTGATACTGCGACGGTGATGTTGATACTGCGATGTCTAGTGCGGTTATGATTTGAATCGTCAAGCGGCAGCCTTTTTATAGGCTACGACAAGTGATCGTCGGCGATACGCTGCCGCGTGCTATGCATAAGTTAGACTATCGTTGGGCATAAGTTGTGAACGCCGACAACACGCTAAGCATTCGTTGGTATAAGTTATCTATAAGTTACTAATACATTATGTATACGTCCAACTCGTTATGAATACGCTATGTATACGCCCAAAATTGAAAAAAACATCGATAGTTCAGTGTATGCCAGCGTTTTAGAGAAATTTGGATACGTCGGCATACGCTGGCTAAATCGTCAAGGTGTGACAAGGCCATAACAGAATAATATCAGGAGTGTATCAATATTGATATTGATACACTCCTGATAATATCCATAAGCAGGGTAATAATAAACATTGCTGTATTACTTATATATATATATATATATATATATAGGACATTTAAATTATGGTAATTTACAGCAAGTAGGCTATCTTCCTTTGGCTATCCCATTCTTACAAAATATTTCCAAATTGTCAAACTGTCTATCAGGATGGGAAAGACGTTCATAAAAAAACAAATTTATGGAATACATATATGCATTAAACAGTTTATACACAATAAAAAGTCTGACCTGCTAAAACCAGTAGCCAATAGATACCAGCCATCCATTACCCAAATAACTTTTCCTTTCCGAATTCCTTCTTCATCAAGGCTTTCCTAAAATACAACATAATAATTACTATTGACAGAGCTGTCTCTGGTGTGAATTTCATATTTACCAAGCAGAAATTTTCTTTTAAAAAGTTTTCAGGATTACACGAGCATGTATATATTAAATAGTATCTACCTGTATTGGCTCGGTGGATGAGCGAGGATTATATATTCTAAGTTTCTGATCCTTACACAAGGTGGCACTGTATTTCCCATCAGGGCTCCAGGCAAAACTGTACACCTAAATAACAACAGATACAATTACATGATGAAAAATCTAACAACTACCCTGAGATGACATATATCACAGCACTTCATCTTTATATCATCCCCCAATTTCATTGACGAAGCAAATGGAAATGTGCCTAGCCTTAATCTTTACTAGGGTAAGGATAAGGGCACTAATGCATGCAGTAATGATACAAATTTGGGATTATACTTAGTGTTATTAATTTTTATTCAAGAGTGTATATCTCTACCTAGTGCCAGCATCAGCCACATAACAGAGAGTACAGGTGACTACACTGACAGACCTGATCGGTGTGCCCATCCAGTGAGATCACCTCCTGCATCGTGCATACATTCCAGATTCTCACGGTCATGTCATAGGAGGCTGACGCCAAGATATCTGATGCAGTCGTGTGCCATGCCAACAGATAGATCTTTTCTGTATGACCTAGCAATGGAGCAAAATGACTTTATCACATATATTGCTGAATAAGTCATCTTATTAAATAGGTATCTTGATTAAACTGATACATAAAATTCTCTAGGTTTCCCACGACATTCAATAACGTGGTAACACTTGCTTTGCCTCTACCTTTTAAATAGCACTCTGGTTCAGTAAGCATCTCAGTCAGACCTTCCTCGGGTAATGACCAGATCCTGATTTTGGCATCATCGCAAGCTAAACAGCATAAAATACAATCAATATAGTTAAATGACACAAATCACTTCTTTCAATTAAAAGTCATGGTAAATGCTTAAATACCACTGTAGTTCTATTCTATTATAGAGAAATTTAAACATTATTTTAGAAAAAAAAACTCATTACAGATAACGATGATATACATTCATGAAATGTAAATATGCAATGTCATGAATATGCACAATATTCAATAAGCCATAACATTACCAACTGCTAGTCTGGCATTGTTGAATGGATCCCAGGCCAAGTCCATTACAGCCGAGCCATTCTCTACTACGGGTACTCCTGTGTCAGGGAGTCTACCTGGTCTACTGAGCTTAAAATTCAATAGAAATTCACTGCAGTATTAATTTATGTACAGCGTATATTTGATTTTAGCGACCCCACTTGAGTGGGACTAATAAGGCAAAGGAAGAAGAAGATTAATTTATGTACAGCAGGAAATAATAACAAATTATTGCCAGCCTCCTTTATGTGACTCTAGAACCTGCCACATGGCGTTATATCAGTGTTAGTTGTATTTTACCACATGCAGTCATATAGGTCAGTGTTAGCTCAGTCAATGTTCATCTGCACCTCAAGTGCTTAACTGATGCAAAGCAAGGCACTTTGTGTGATGCATTCCATTGCGACACATTTTATTGGCATTTGCAGTAGTAGGTTTGAGGTGTGGCATCTGAAGCAAGAGGTTCAAGGTGGAAGAAGATCGAGTAACGCGAGTTGGAGACTATTGATTGGCAGGCTCTTACCTCCAGTACGGCGATGGTACCACCTGGTCCTGCCAGGGCCACCGCCGCGCGGCTGGTGTTGGCAGCAAAGCCTGCGCTCTCACCGCCCACTGTGCCATCCACACCACGCAGGTTCTCTACATGCTCCCGCCTGTGCGCCACCACCACGTGCAGGTTCTTGAACTTTGAAGCCCGCACACCTGTCCAGCGAAATGCAGAGATGAGTACTTGGGTTCTCTGTCAGGATGGCGCCGCAAGATTCTTAATCATCGTGACGAATAACTGATCGCAAGCCTTTCCCGTGTCTCTGGGGAATGATGCTCACGCGTTTACTGTCGCGACACTCGGAGGAACTTGCGAGCACGTCAGACGAGCTCTGCTTCCGATACATGCAACCATGCCTAATACGCATGACATTTCATGTGATCTCACGCTACGGGTGAGAACATCCGTCTTCATTACACATACACGCACACACGCACACACGCGCAGCTAATACCTGCCCATCCTGCTGTTGGATGTGACTGTGGCTCATCGCGTGCATGCACGTCACCCTGCCCTCCTAGTCGTGCCGCCCCAGTGATTACAGCATCATCTCCTGTCCCTGCTGAAGGTTTAATTGCTTGTGGCTGATGTTGGACTGTATCGTCGTTGGGAGGAGTGTGCTCATGAGCCATGCTGCCTGCACCACCTGGTGGGACCTTTGTTGTGACCTCTGTGACCTTTGTCATGACCTCTGTTGGCGTGTCTTCACTCGACGACTCAGCCTTGCTGTGTTCAGTTGCGATGACCGGCTCGATCTCGCCTGCCTCGTGGAACGGTGAAGCTTTGTAGGTCTTCGCTGGTCTTTTCGTTGGATTGAGGGAACATTTCTTCACCTGAGGTCAGATGATACAACCCTGATTGCTAGAGACACGGCAGTTGCACTTTTCAAATCATATGTGACTTTTATAGGGAGCTGGAAACTTTGCAAATGTAAATGCAGCTTAGACATATTGTAACAAGTATCACACCTCAGTGACAAAATACATTAACAAGATCTCCTGATACATATACTAAACCTAAACTAACGACCAGAGATACTCAAAACTCTATTTATGTCACGCCTTTATGGATTACAGATAGAACTAATATAGATGCTAGACAAATTAACATTTTAAAATGATATTATATCAGGTAACATGACACGAAACGTACCCTGTCATTTCCTCCAGCAAACCATTGTTCAGCTGTTAAGGCTGGATCACTCCAAGCTGTCATTGGATACAAGTCTTCATGAAAGTCTCTATAGCTCTGTGTGTAAACAATGCCATATATGTCTATCCATTAACTCATTCATTCAATAGGTTTGCACACTTTATAACCATTACCCAGAGCTGGTTGCACCTAGATGTATACCTGCTTATAAGAAAACACTACTAGTTTATTATGTAATATAAGCAACTTCAACCAACAAGCAATCATTTCAATATAAAGAAACCTTTACTATATCATGCTATTTTTCCTATGTTGCCCAATGTATGACAGAACATTATTGATAAGTGATATATAGCTTTTATAATACACTGTTAGCTGTACTTTGCATGGTACTTTGTTCACCAGTCTGCAATTAGAAGGAGGCACAATGTAGTTAGAAAATGTAAACTACACTTTGCATGTAACTACCTATGCCACGTAAAATGTGGCAGTATATTTAGTGGACCTAATGCAGTAGGTTTGTACCTTACGTGGGACAACATATGACACAGGGACAACAGCTCGCTGGGAGAGCATCAGCAATCTGTTCACTTCACCCTGCATGACATTGAGCCCTCGCTTTGGCACCTTACAGATCGACACAATCTGAACGTCTGACGCGAATGCAGATGCTGAAAATATGAAAGACAATGTAAAATATGCCTGTTTTACATGCTTCACCCAAACAGTTGTGTTTGACATCGCTGTTAATATTACTGTTATGTGTTTTACATTATGTATTCTTCCAAAATGAAAATTTCTATTCATGGTATACTTAGGGAATATGTGTTGTAGGGATTGGCAAATCTATATAAGAATGAAATTTATATGGACACACATTGAATCAGTTATTAAATTTGACAATTTCATAATGAGAAACATTCTAAATACATATCAATATGCATAAGATATAAAATATTCCTTTACCTTCTGTTAGGAATGGCTCTTTATCTTGCACCTCATAAAATCCAACACAAGGCTCTCCCTGTGACAAATATAATACCCTTTTACAACTATGAGTCAACATAATATTATATTCACTTATAACAGCTAAATGTGTACAATTATTTACAATACTATGTGTTGCACATCCAATGTTTACACAGTGGCAATGGTTAATCTCACAGACATAAATAATACAGATAAATGATATATTCAATGTAACTTCTATGATCACTAGATATCAAAAAGTGCACTAAAAATGCAAACAAATATATTTTTTAGTTCACATATTTTCAACTTGCCTTTCCAGCCAAGAACAACATGTTTGTATCTGCATCAAACATTGGGAACATTAACCTGAAAATAAAGAGTCAATGTAGAGTATATGTGCTGACACATGCATACACAAGTGTAACAATGAAAGGAAATTTTTCAACATGACATTCACATAATACGTATTTTTGTCAACTATGTTAACTCAATAAATTTATTTGCCAAAACACGAAAAGCCACAAGCCTACACATGAATGATCAACTCTCTGTTAACTGTAATAGTATAAGTACACACACACGCACGCACGCACGCACGCACGCACGCACGCACGCACGCACGGTACACACACTGGCATGGCACACGCATGCACATATTTACTCCGCCAGGGCTGGCGGGGGTTATGTTTTCACCAGCGTGTGTTTGAGTGTTGGTTTGTCTGTTTGTGGGTTTGTGGGTTTGTTAACATGCACGTTTCAGTTCACTTCCGCTAGGTGCGCTGGCTGTAGATTTACAAACACGCAACCACAGGCTAAAGGGCAACCACAGTCCTCCCCCACCTGCACGCTCGCACTAATCCGAATCCAATTAATTAATTAATTAGTTTTTCCACTTAATTAATTAATTAATCAATAAAAAATTTCACATTGAGAGAATTCAGCTCCCTTGGCGAAGGTCTGTGCTCTCCGAGTGCTCTAGTTATGTTATATATTATGTGTTATTACAAACCCGGTTCGGCCCAAGCTCAGGGAAGTCACACTGCTATCAAATCTGCGCAGATCCCACAGGTAAACCTGACTCTGATGTGTCTGAAACCCAACACAATGTATACTTAACTTTAAACCCCTTCTCAAAATCACCTGTTGAAGGCAAATGTGCATTTATACACATAGTTACATATACTACAGTCACGCAATCTTACACAGAATTCCTTTGTTTGTAATACATAATTATTGAATCGTTATCTTATCTGCGTGAGGACAACAGCAGCAACATTCAACGAAACAGGGCTAGTGTTGGAAAACGTGCATGCAAACTTCTGTTTGTTGTGTGTGTGACGTACAGCATCAAACCCAGTCGTCAGTAGCCTTGTGTCATCAGCCAGCCAGCAGACGCTGGAGCCCTTAGGGTTGCGATGTGCCTCGCTACTATGGGTCACTACGTTAGCTCTCGGATCCCACACTCTCAGCTGCTTGTCGCGACATGTCGAGGCAAGGTAGGCTCCGTCCACGCTCCAGTCAATGTCCTGCACCGTGTCACCATGTCCACTCAAGTCTGTGTGCCAACATCAGGCCATTTAATGTCAGGTATTTAATGTACTTTGCAAATTTGCATACATGATCAGAAATCACAGTAAGATTAACATTAATGCGTGGGTAAATCAATTACTAATTGATGTGGATACTGGTATACTTAGAGTATCACCGATGTAGATGAAATGTGCAAATTATTAATAGCATATGGAGCTACCAAAGGTTGCCTCCTGTTTCGTGATGTCCCAGACTTTGACATGATTGTTCATTGACGTAGCTAGTACTTGGCCCGCTGCTGGATGGAATATGATATTCGTTACCGACTTCTCTTCCATTGGTAGGTGTATCTCAGGCTGAACCACTGTGTCAGTCGACCCATCCTCGGGCAACTGCCAGACCTTAACCTGTGACAACATGAAGAAGTCTGCAGTCCTAATTTCTGAACCAAAGATGACAACAATGCTAAACATAAGTCAGAGTAACAATCAGAATTACAATATCAGAAGTTATGTATACTGCACACACCAGAGAATACATTGTAAAACACTAGATGATGCTATATGATCAGTGTTAAACTGTTAAATGGATTTTTAGTTGTGTACATAACTACATTTTCAGAAAGTCAGGTGAGCTTGAGTTCTAACTAAGAGGAAGAGGATCCTCTTAATGTCAAATCACGACTCGGGATCAATGGGTAAATTTCAATCCTGCAATCACACTCTGTATGTCTCTATAATTTAGGCTGTCATTATTGAATAAGGAATGTCTCCCATGAAATAAAACATCTGCAGCAATGTGGTTACACTTACAGATCCATCATGAGAACCAGTTGCTAAAAGCCAGTCAGAGAATGGTGAGAAGGAAAGAGCAGTGACCACCTCTGCAATAGATATGTCAGAAGTTCGCTGATGAATTTCTAAATACTCGCTACATAACCGATATACGTAATAAACATGCAATTTAAGAGTGTAGCTAATAGTGACTATGATTTCTTCGACAATTTATCTATTTCTATATATGCCTAAGAAATCTGAGTTCCCAATAACAGAAACAATTAGAATTACATACATTTTATATCAGATAATGGTATTTATTACCGTTTAAACAGTTTTCACTATTTGTACAGCTAAATCATTATGTAAACAAACAGTACATGTACCGTACGTATATATAAACGTGTATGGATAAATTCAAAACCATACCTGAATGAGCTGGAAGAATGTTAGGTTGCAATGGCCTCGGAGTTCTTGGGTTTATTGGATAAATTGATACTACTCCAGCTGAAATGCAGCAACTACACCGTTTAGAGATCTGTAGAATTAGTAACTGCTACCATAATTAATAACTCCTACGACCGTTTATGCACCTCCTGCATAACTAAATGCATGTTTATGCATAATTAAATATTTTCACAAGTTTCCTCATTCTTACTAAACATATTTCAAGTCCAAACTTATTATTTAAAATTCATGTTGCTCTTAATAATAATAGGGCATGTCATAATATGTGTCATATAACTAAATATCTTGCCACAACCTTTTTATTCATAGTACTGACTATCCAATTTATGTCTACCCATGCAGTTATCATTCCCAACCATAAAAACAATCCTACCTCTGGAATCTGATGCGAATGCAAGTAACTCAGCACCAGCCGTAATGACTCCTCCTCCATCACAAATACAACCACTGTTGATATAATCCTAAAACAAGGTGAAACACTGAATATGATAACAAGAACGTCATTCAACAAGTCTTGCAAAAAGTAGCATTGGTTCTACATGAAAATTCAACCTACACATTACCTAGGCTATAGAATTGGGTTGGTTCTACCAAGAAGGTAATACCAACACACACCGTGGCTATATATGGCATTGAAAACCTTTTGACATTTCAACATCACCATTATCATTACTGGTGATGGTATATAGAGCTGTAGTACTATATTCGTTGTTGCCACTGGTGCATGTACTGGCATTGGCAATACAATGGCATCTGACAATCTAGTACGAAAAGAACTAAAGCCATCGAAAATATGGCCAGAAGGCTTGCTATAGCTAACACCCTGATTCCAACAAGATGTGAATATCGATCCCACATCATGCAGCCAATCATTTGCCAATTAGCACCATGCCAACAATGAAAATGTTGGGGGCAGTTGGGCTGAGAGGGTCTATGTCCCCCAGGGTACTACCGGAACGTACCCTGGTACTATCTAATAGTCAGGACCGTACCTCGCCTACTCCACTAACGAGTCTAGGGAGTCGCCTACGCCTACTCCCTAACCCTAACCATATCAAATAGGTAACCATGGTATCGGAACGTACCCAGGGTACGTTCCGGCAGTACCCTGGGGGACAGACCCTATGAGCGGCAGTTGGCCTAATGTCTGACTCTGATAGCCCGATGTGACAGTGCCAGCCATATGGCAACACTGGCCTAGTGATTCCATGTCATCTGGGGTGGCAACTATGTGTCAACGTATGAATGTGTGGGCCAAACAATAATATCTGATTAGTGATTATTGCACAATGACTCACTCCTGAATAGCAGCTAACCACACAACTGGCAAAGTCATTGCTGAAGTGTTTCATTTAACTCTGTGCTTACATTTTTTCCCCTTCCTTCATGTCACCACCTCTCTGACCAAAGTATCTACATTCATTAAAATGCAACCATAACATTGGGTCAAAAGTCAATTTCCAGTCCTCGTTTTAGATTGACAGTGATATGAATAGCTTCAGATTTGTTACTTTCTCAACTGTACTGCTAACAAGGAGTGTTCATTTAATTTATGTGTATACACGTAATGGCAGATGTATGTAAACGGTGTAAATCATTGCATGACAATACATTTACTGCTCCATCTCTAAGAAAGAGATGCCACAGCTGCAGGAATAAGCTCTATAATTCATATAGTATGATACGACTCCAATGGTAACATCATCATTATCACCACCAAGAAATAGATTATTATGGACTGCATGGAATCCTAAATCTACATACATGACATAAACACATATGGGATGAGTAACAGCTAGAGGTGAAAGTTCAAACCCCCGGCAGGGTGGCAGGGATTTTTCTCAGTGTAAAACCCTGGATCTGGACATTGGGCCCTCATAGCTTAGTTGACCCAGAGCACTTATAGCCTGGCGGCCCGCCAGGCTATCGTCGAGCCCCGCCATCCTAAAATGCACCCGCCACTCTAAATATCATAGCCGCCATGCTAAATTAGGCAATAATATAGGCCATAAATGCCATAGCCGGCCTTCGGCGATTTGCAACTAGGGCCGTAATGGCAGCACCCCCATGCTATAATGAAAAAGCTTAGAGAACCCTGTGACCATGTAAAATGCGGGCCTGTCTCTAGTAATAGGAACGTAAAAGAACCACTGAGGAAGTAAAACAAGTGCCGCAGAGCGACAGCACTCAACTGACGTGTACTGTAGCCGGCTATTCTTGTGATAAACTCACTGGTAACCGAATCAAGTGCGCCCTCCCGCCACCGCGTTGATAGGCTTTGCTATACCGGTAGTACAGTAATAGAGATATAGCTGTGTCGCTTTAATGACTTCGCTATATTAACGTTATCATGGATATGCGTCGAGCGCGAGCGACGAGCGTAGTGGTGGTGGTGAAGGGTGGGGGGAGGGTGGTGGAGGGGCGGGTGAAGAGGGCTCTAATAGCAAAAGCAGTTCAGTCCTTTGTTAACAGTAAACAAATCCATGTTTAACCCTCCTCTTGGGGGTCAAAAGGTTATCAGACACTTACTCTTCGCACGTCAGTGGAAAGCACATTTCATGGTCCTTTCAATAAAGCCATAAAAATGGTAGGTCACCGCTGAAACAAAAAAGTTTTTCAATCGCTCCGTCAGACCATGTCCTCAGAAAATGTATAAAATCTGCCCTGTGCCCCATTGACCTGTGACCTCCAATTTCGGCACAGTGATGGCTTTTCCTACCATGATGCTATACACCGACTATTACGAGCCTAGGTCGAGCCGATTAGATTTGTGCCGCAATTCTGCATTTCCTCCCTATAGACCATTCTTAATTATTATTCATGACCTGGGGTCATTGCACGAAAACGAGGCTAAGCTAGGCAATTTTGTAAACAAAGGCTGCTCAGGCAGTCACGCACAGAGGGTACACGCATACGCACCGCAGTACGCTGGTACACGCGGGTACATGCATACACGCAGTTATATCAACACCGTCGTTTCTATTTGTTTCGGTTTCTGTTGCCATCGATACGCGCGTATTCTCCTGTTTCTCCATCGAAACGCGGGTCTTTGCCATCGGTCCTCTGTCTACACGCACATATACGCGGGTACACGCACGTACATGCAGATACACGCACGTACACAGAGATACACGCACATACACGCAGGTAAACGCACGTACACGCAGGTACACGCACGTACACGCACGTACACGCACGTACACGCACGTACACGCGAGTACACGAAGATACACACGGGTACACGCACGTACACGCTGGTACACGCAGATACACACACGTACACGCAGGTACACGCACGTACACGCAGATACACGCACGTACATGCCCGTACACGCGGGTACACACACGTACACGTAGATACACGCAGATACACGCGGGTACACACACGTACACGTAGATACACGCAGATACACGCGGGTACATGCATACACGCAGTTATATTAACACCGTCGTTTCTATTTGTTTCGGTTTCTGTTGCCATCGATACGCGCGTATTCTCCTGTTTCTCCATCGAAACGCGGGTCTTTGCCATCGGTCCTCTGTCTGCCGCAACAGCCTGCAACCGCGTGCAACCTGCGCACCCCTCCACTTGGAAATACATTGTGCCCGCTCACTGGCGCCGGAACCGCGCTAGCGCCGCGCAACGAAATTGGCGGCGACAAGTTTGTAAATAATATTCGTCGACGAGTAATATAGCAAGTACAACATTTAACCGTTAGTTTGCAGTTTAATTTTAGTGTTTGCAGTAACTTAAGACATTTGTGCGACGGAGAATGTGCTTTATTTGGCGTACCGAAGAAGTTATTAACCGTAAAAAGTTCTAGAGCTAAAGTGGGAGTTGCCTCTGCCAACGACTGTACTGTCTGTACTGTCTGTAGTGTAGTGTTAAAATTTGGTGTTATTAATATTATGCATTTGTGGTATGAAAGCATCCAGTGATGCCTAAATATAACGCACCTCCTTCTTTGGAAGTTTTGTTGCTGCATTCTTAAACTTCGAGACTTTAAATCGCTTCATCTCAATGATCCCTTTTGATATCTACGAACTTGGAAGTTTGCAAAACCAAAAGTACTGTTTACGTTCGGGTGCGCCGGTGCGCCGTGTAGTGAGCACGCATCCGGCGACACAGCGCCACCTAGTAATAATAAAAATAAATATAACATTGCATTAAAAGCCCGTAGGAACAAATGTAATATTTGTTAATTATTACTCTAAATAAACTAACAACGTCAATCACCAATTAGTTTTTTCACGTCAACAACCCATGTAGTTATTCTGCTTATTTAAAATTGCGTACTCTAACGTATTGTTTATTTTAATAGCCAACCAAAGATACCGCGGCGGCGGTGTTCACTTGGTCGATTTCAATAATGGCGGCGACCGTGAAGGCATGCAAAGTTTTAGTTAGCAACACTCGTAGTTCACTTCTTTTACCTTATATTCTATCTGATATATTCCACACAAGTCGCGTGTCGTACTCCTTTAGTTATGCATTTAGGTGCGATGAAGCAAATTGTTGCAAAGTATTTCAGTCTGGTAAGACAAACGTGATTTTATGTTGAATTATGATTTATGCCTATACGCTATATACTAATATAGGCTATATTATATATAGCTATATAGATTTTATTATAGGCCTACTCCTATATTCTCAGTATAACTATAAGTATAAAATAAAAAATGATCATTTCAAATAAATGATATCAAGAGCGTATAAAGAAGGAGAGCGTACAACGGGGAAATGCTGAAACCATGTTGCAATATTAGTCGAATTAAGAAACTTTGCCCGTTTTATTTTGACGATTCTTTGCAGTATTATTGATCAGGTGTCCTACCTTGCTAGTATAGTAATATAAAACAAACCGCTTGTCCCTACGATGCTCCTACGGCTACGCTGAGATAATGACCGGTGAAAATCTGGTATTTTCACCGAAAACCGACTCGAGATCACTGTTTACTGCGACCCTCTCTCGCTTTGTGGCCAGTGTATTGCTTCTGGTCGCCGCTGTGTAGCGCCATAGTAGCGCTGACTCACGTCAGTACTACAGAGTTTGCTATACCTACATCCAGCGTGAGGTGGGCACAGGTGGGGGTCATCACTATGGCAATCAATAACAGACGTCATTCCTTCCATTTGTCAATCATTGACGGAAACACGCGAGGTCGTGTTTCCCGAAGTTATCTGAGAGCCTCCGTGGCCCAGGCACTTGGACCGTTTCAATAATAAAATGATGGTTAATAAATACAACTTGTCAGTAGCCTACTACTACAGTACCAGCAATAGTCTTAATGTTTGATTTGACCTAATAACTTCACTTCAACACCGTTAAATACACCGATGCAACACATAGCCCGCACGCCATTGTGCATGCACAGATACACAGTAGATAGGAGAAGGTAAGAAAGCGTGATCACAGAAATTCCAGAACGCTCCACTTTTGTCGCAGCACTAGAGGAGAAATAAACGTCCAAACGCCATGATATTGGCATCTGTGTGTAGCTGAATGGTCACTTGTTCGAAATATACGTCTTGCAACTTGGTACCACATACTTTACCCAGAATTATATGAAAAATCCTGTTCGAATTTGCCGCAAATTTCCCATGAAGCCGATTTGTAAACGGGACAAGTACATGAGCAATGGCGGCGCATTGCACTCTGGGAGGAGTTGCATCCGCCTGCCCAACTCCAAAACGAGCGGCTATCGTATTTCGCACAAAGTGACGTCACACGGGCGACTATCGTGATTGGTCAAAGGATATAATAGAGCAGTTAGGGATTTCCGGCATGTTGGTCCCGTTTACAAATCGGCTTCATGGGAAATTTGCGGCAAATTCGAACAGGATTTTTCATATAATTCTGGGTAAAGTGTGTGGTACCACGTTGCAAGACGTATATTTCGAACAAGTGACCATTCAGCTACACACAGATGCCAATATCATGGCGTTTGGACGTTTATTTCTCCTCTAGTGCTGCGACAAAAGTGGAGCGTTCTGGAATTTCTGTGATCACGCTTTCTTACCTTCTCCTATCTACTGTGTATTTGTGCATGCACAATGGCGTGCGGGCTATGTGTTGCAGCGGTGTATTGAACGGTGTTGAAGTGAAGTTATTAGGTCAAATCAAACATTAAGACTATTGCTGGTACTGTAGTAGTAGGCTACTGACAAGTTGTATTTATTAACCATCATTTTATTATTGAAACGGTCCAAGTGCCTGTGCTCCGTGGCCCAGTGGTTAGGCCTCGTACACTGCCCACTGAAGGGTGTGAGTTCAAACCCCGGCCGGGGCAGTGAATTTTCTCAAGGTGTAAAAACCTGGCTCTCAACATTGGAGACTGTGAAACTCCCGTGGCTCGGATAACCACGTAAAATGACGGTCCTGTCGCCAGTAATACTAAGGCCAATGGGGACGTAAAAGAACCACTAAGGGCGCAAAAAAACTTGGGCTGTGACCACCCTCAGTGCCATTAGGCTAAAGGCTAACTACCTGGCTTTACCCAAGCTAGGTCACACCCCATGGCTAGCTATAGCCCTGCGTTATTATCCATGTAACCGTGGGCTACGTAGTAAACTATCCAGATCCAGATCTCAAAGCGAGAGACAGTCACAGTAAACAGTGATCTCGAGTCAATTTTCGGCGAAAATACCAGATTTTCACCACTCATTATCTCATCATAGCGACATGCGGTTTGTTTTGTATTAACAAGGTAGGACAGCTGATCAATAATACTGCAAAGAATCGTCAAAATAAAATGGGGAAAGTTTATTAATTCGACTAATACTCCAACATGGTTTCAGCATTTCACCGTTGTACGCTCTCCTTCTTTATATATGCTCTTGATGATATCTAGTTTGAATTTCCTCTGACCAATAGACACACCGACGATTTTTGGTGGATCTGGTGTGGGCATTGGTCAGAGGAAACAGACTAGATTTATTTGAGATTATAATTTTTTAAATTTTTAATACAATTCAAAATATATTCTTCACATACCATGGGCTTAGAGTCGATCATGGTGAGGGCAATTGCAAAAATGTAATACTAAAAGGCATGATTTCACACGTCAACAAAACATGGTGCACCTGAGAGGGTGAGAAACCAGTTTTAGCGTTTCCCCATTGTTTCCATAACTTTATTGATAGTACCAAGTGTTGACTTCTGATGTGTGAAACGTAGCTGTCTGGATATCATTCTACCCTTGTACAGACTCCAAATTTATTGCTGCAGCAGTTGCAGCAGCCACAAAAGCAAGCACAACCTTTCTGATGAGCGTTCGTGTACTATAACACAATTTTCAACTAAGTATGTAATATGTATGTATGGAAATTCTATTTCTAGGATTAACAAGGAATCACATTACAGCCAGATGGCTGCATAGTTCTTCATCATATTCTGCAAACAAAGACTATTACAAAATTCTAGGAATCACAAGAAAAGCTAGTGCGAGTGAGATTAAAAAGTCTTACTATCAGGTTTGAATAATGAATAGTTGCTTGTCATTTTGCATGTAATTTATCAGAATATCAAGATTATCTGCACTCAGCTAACACCACACACAAAAGAGGAATTGAACGAAAGGTCTATTGAATTGTATTATAGATGCATATATATATAGATAATAGATCTTGGGTAAAATATCAAGCTTGCTATATCAACTATATTAATTTTTTCACCATTACCATTTTGTCATTGCCTTAATCATGCAACATCATGTAAAGAAAAATATGAGAAAAAAACAAAAAACAATAACTGACAGTGACTACAATGCACTCATGAATGAATGTATTCATTTCTGATTTTGCAGCTGGCTAAAAAGTACCACCCGGACACAAACAAAGCTGCTGATGCAAGCAGGCGATTTCAGGAGGTATCCGAAGCATATGAGGTAAAGAATGTGTTGCCATTAGCAATATGAGCACTGCTGAGTGAAGTCCTAGATGGGAAAAAAATCAGAAACATACTGTTGTTCGTGCAAAGGACAAGGTAAATGTCATTGTAGTTTTGGAGGCAATTGTACAACATCGGTGGATTATCACTTTGTTCTTCCTTATGTCCAGATTCTTTCTGACGAGAGTAAGAAGAGTCAGTATGATACGTGGGGCTCCTCCTCCAGTCAGCCACCTCCGGGTAGGTCTTCCGGTGCTGGCCCTAGCCAACAAGGCTTTGAGGGCTTTCACGCAACCATAGATCCCGAGGAATTGTTCCGCAAGATATTCGGAGATGCGACGCAGTTCAGAAAAGGCTTTGGACAGCAAGCGCAGGGATTTGCTGACACCATATTTGGGTTTGGTGCAGCCTCTGAGGTACTTGCCTGGGTTTCTCTGGGGTTGATCCACGTCTCCTCACTGTAAAGATGTAGCTGGTGCATTCCATTAGCATTCATTCTGTATGCAACATGCAAATAGTGGCTGCACTGCGTATTGTGGTGATAGCAGCTAGTTTGTGTGACTATACTATATTCAGTTAGTTTTAAATTACTATTATTGCCCATGAAGTTGCTTTGTGACAGTCCCTGCTTCTATCGTAGGTTGTGATGAACCTCAGCTTCCAGGAGGCTGCAAGAGGTGTCAACAAAGACATAGCAGTAAATGTCGTAGACACTTGTCAGTATTGCAAAGGCTCCGGTGCAGAGTATGGCTCCAAAGTAATCAAATGTCCGTACTGCAATGGGACTGGCATGGTAGGTACTATATATTTTACTCCAGTCTTAAAGGCACAAAAAACAATCATGAAAGTCATGTTATTCCTTACATTATTAGTAGATTATAATTATGAATAATTACGAACATGTGAAAAACATCACTAACTTGTTATTAGTTATATACATCATCAGTCGGATCGTTATCCTACACTTATGCTGTGCTTGTGATTTGCAAGCACCATGTCCGAATTGTTTACTGTCATAACATATATATTCAGTGTTGCCTACAGTCACATTATATAGAATGGTCAGATCTTGCTATATCATTACATGTTATTTCAGGAGAGTTTCAGTACGGGACCGTTTGTGATGCGGGGAACATGCCGGAAATGTCACGGAAAAAAAGTGTTCATCCCGCGACCATGTATGGAGTGTGAAGGAAAGGGCCAGTCTGTGCAACGAAAGACTGTCACCGTTCCTGTCCCTGCAGGTAGATTTAAGATGTGATTGTATGTGCACTGGAAGTTATATTCGATTTCATAAAAAAAGTCGTAAGCCCCTATATGCCTCCTGTGATAAGTATGTTTCAAGATGACATTTATTTGCATTATGTGGGTTATTGTTAAAAACAGCATCGCTCTTTCTGATATTATCTCCCGTGCAGTCGTAAAAATAGTAAATTGCATTTCAGGTAATTTTTTTAAAATTTACAATGTATTATATTATAGGCGTAGAGGATGGTCAAACAGTGCGAATGCCTGTTGGCAAGAAAGAAATTTTTATCACATTTCGCGTAAGTCTAAATAATTATCAGTAATCACTATTAATAATGTAATAATACATCTGTAACAAAATTATAATTTATATGTAGATAGATGATATATTGGTGGATCACTCATTTTTCAATGATTTTACTCATGTTATCATTGTCTCTATCTATGTTATTATTGTCTATCATTATGTTATCATTGCCTGTATTCATATTGCCAGCCTGACTGAATAATAATAGATTAATAATTAATAAAGATAATAACTAAAAATCTATTATTATTTGCTCTTGATATTGGTGTTTGCACTACTGGTACGGCTGCCTGTGCAGTCATTCATATTGCTGCTTGTCATTCTAATATGATGGTTTCATTGTAATGAATGCTAAACAATAGAGAATGCTTGCCATTTCACAATGTTGTTAACAGGTGGCAGATAGTACCTACTTCACCAGAGATGGTGCAGATATATACACTGACGTAAATATTAGTTTGGCTCAGGCTGCACTTGGTGGATCGATCAGAATACAAGGCCTGCACGAAGACATTGATTTGAGGGTAAATGTTAATTTTGGCGTTACATGTTTACGTATGGAACTGAAATAATATTTCTGTTCTTCCCTGTAAACTCGCATGCTGCACGTGTTTATACAGTTGTCTGATTGTGTATTGTGTCAGCAACATTCATTTGACGAGCAGGTGGTGTGTCTAGTAATCAGTGAAATGTTGTTGAAGTGGTGAGAGGGAGGGGGACCGGGGATGGAGTCAGCTTACTAATCAGTCTTTACCATAATTCGTTGCTTTTGCATCTGAATCTGAATTCTGTGTTATGCAGGTGCCACCTGGAACGTCCTCACATACTACACAAAGGCTCGCAGGCAAGGGTGTGGCTCGAGTGAATAGTTGGGGATATGGGGACCACTATGTGATCATCAAGATAGATGTACCCAGGTGAGTCACCCACACAGCATATGTACAATTATAATCCACTTATGCCACTGCACATTATCAGGTAGCTAGCTATAATATCACACTTCGAATACCAGTGTGAACTATGTAAACGTAATGCTATAAGGGAAAATTATTTATTCATATTTAAATTTGAATTTTTATATTTTAGTTTAAAAAGGCAACAGAGAGATGGGGGGAGTGGGCAAGGGAGCAGGAATGTGAGACATACATTAGCCTGGATTGACATGTTATATATATATATATATATCAAGAGTACATAATGAGAGAAGAGTATGACACTGTTTTAACAGCGTTTTGCATAGTTTTCAACTTGAAATTGTTCTATCATTATGTGAATAAATATATTCAAACTTTACCTTGTTTTCGTCTCGGATTCTCCCTTAATCATATGACACCACCGGTTTACCTGAAAATTGTATGTGTTCTTCAAAAAGTGTTCTTTGAATACGACACGGTTTCACACAGTTTTCCCAAACTTTTGCATCTTAGCGACCAATGTTTATTATCGGATTAGTGTTCTATTGTCTCTAACCGGACGCTGGGGGCTGTTGGGGATATTAGGTAAGCACAGTAACATTACTTGTTTCGCTTCCTTATCATCAGGAACACGATGGCAACCCAGCTAAAATCAGCTGCTAGCTCGCCGTGAGCAGACATTTATTTTTAGCACGCTGGAAACGCAATACACACTGAATACAATCGATGCCTAATATCCCCAACAGTCCCCAGCGTCCCGTCAGAGACAATAGAACACTAATCTGATAATAAACATTGGTCGTTAAGATGCAAATGTTTGGGAAAACTGTGAAACCGTGTCGTATTCAAAGAACTTTTTTGAAGAACATACGATTTTCAGGTAAACTGGTGGTGTCATATGATTAAGGGAGAATCCGAGACAAAAACAAAGTAAAGCAGGGTGCGAAATTAATGGGATTTCGGAGTCAAATACTCCCTGCTTTATTGTTGGACTCCCTGATTTGACATATGCAGGAGTCCGTGTGACTCCCTGAAAATTCGGCTATACTAACTAGTTCGTTCCAGAGCACGGCCTCGCGGAATGACCGTATTTTCTCAGCTAATGTTCAAAGAAAATTTACCAGACGTGCAACCGCATGAATCTTAAAAAAAGTTATTGTTAATATCTTTAATTTTGAACCTCAGACTGCGTACTCCCTCATTTTGCTGCAGACTCCCTCTTTTTGAGGGTAGGGAGTCCAGTCCGTTGGACTCCCGTTTTCAAAAGTTGATTTCTACCCCTGTAAAGTTGAATATTGATTGATTGTAAATTCACATATTGATAGAATAAGTTCAAGTTGAAAACTACGCAAAACGCTGTTAAAACAGTGTCATACTCTTCTCCCATTATGTACTCTTGATATATATATATATATATATATATATATATATGCTCAAAATATAAAATTATGGTGATCTGGTATTTATACAGGAACTTAACCACAGAACAGAGAAACCTGCTACTAGCATATGCACAGACACTGAAGGGGACTAAGGGCACCATCGATGGTGTTGCCAAAGATGATAAAGGTAATGTTTCTCAATGCCACCTATGATGTGAGTAAAATTTCTATATTTAGTTATAATTAAATTGGTATTATTTTTAATAAGAAAATAATATTAATTTTTTATTATTTTTGCCATTACGATAGTATTCGCATGTAATTTATCTGTGAGTCGGTATTGGCCGTAATAAAATGCAATTATTTTGTGTTTATAAATGTAATTATGAAATATATAATTGTTGTTCACAGTGCTTATCATTAGCAGTAGGCAACTAGCATTATCATCCATAAGTGGCATAGTTGTCTGAAAGATGCCGGTTTTGTGCATATGAGTATATTTATTGACGAAAGTGATCTTGCATACTTTTTTCTTTGCCATCCGTTTTAAACGAAAATTTGAACACTTAAAAATGAAAAACCGTTTACCTGTAGAGAACTGCATGGATTCGGAAGATGTTAAGCAAGAAGAAGGTTTTTTTGCAACTCTGAAAAACAAGATTTTTGGCTAAGGAGCGGCCATGAGTACGACCGCGGTGAAGGGCTCCATGCTGGACGTGCGCTCCCAACTCACATCTCTGCTGGAAAAATTTCATAACACAACATCGAGACCAGTGAGTCTTGATGTGAATTTCGAATGTCTGATCCACCAAAAGGATCACCACGAGATACGTTATTGTATGCGTAGTAGGCCTGCCTACGAAAAGTCAAACTCGTTAGTAGTGCATAATGTGCATACACAGTTCTATCCTCTTTAGTCACTTTCTTTCATGCAGCTGCTTCAGCATTGAGCATTTATAGGTGGGTGCGTATAAAACAGTGCTTGTGAGTGGCTCTGATTAATCCATTTTTACGATTCGTTTATAATAAGTATTAATTACATTTGCGATAGAGCATTGGGTTTCTGTGATAGGAATGTGATAAATCTCAATCCAAATAACAAACGTTTATACGTGTAAGCAGTCGTGCTCACAGGTAGACTCATGCATGTACGTACGCGTATGCATGCGTCTACACGCGGAGACGCACACACACATGCTCATAATTGATCGTATGGAAGTAACGATAGCTTATTAACGATTAAAATTATAAGCAAAGTGTCAAAGTACATCTTGAACAAATCGCAATCGATTTTTTACTTCTTTTCCTTGCTAAAATGCAAAAACGTAAAGTATTCCATATGCTGCAATTGAGTGCCACGTAAAGCTTTGTCTTCTCATTCAACTGTTTTGGTTTGTTTTTCATGGTATGATTTATGGGTTCGCGCACTAATTGAACTTACCTGTTTGATCCTAATCTGTAACAAGATGAAAGGCTCTCATGATTGCTCTTCAGAACTAAAAGGCATGCATTCCATGCGGCTACCTACTGATTAAATATCAAGTATTTTAATAACTTGGAGTTTTGGGCTGGTACCATTTAGAATGCTAGTATTGATTGCCTGAGAGAGAGGGGAGAGAGACTCTGATGACTAGGGAAAGAGCGAGACAGTGAAATGATGGGAGTGCGAGAGAGAGACAATCAGACACACGCACGCACGCACGCACGCACGCACACACGCATACACACACACACACACACACACACACACACACACACACACACACACACACACACACACACACACACAC